ACATCCTTACTCCGCCGAAAACTTGTCGCGTGATTTCCAATTACCATAATACTATGTCCAAGATCGGTGGGGGCAAATTAACTGTGAGGATTTGCGAGCGATCCTGCATCATGGGCGGCATAGTTGGGATCGGCCGTCGTACCGGACAATCGGATCTATTTGCTTAAGCTGACCGGTGCTCTAATCCGCACCGGATTATTGATGAGGAGGCCCTTTGGATCGCCGGTGAGGCTGTACCACGTTAGGCCCAAGTCACACGCTGACGAATCGCCACGCAGGATAACTATGTAATCGGTTCTGAATACATTAGATGCGGTATTTTATCACGAGCAAAGAAATGCACAATAAAATGCGCAGCAGATTAAACTTTAAGTCAATGTTTCATTTTTTAACAATCTTTTGATTCACTGTTGACTTAATAGGTTTCGTCTTTACTGTCGATGCTTCTGTTTTCAGAAAAAAACCTTCAATTTACCTTTAAAGTTATGAACGTATGTTGCTTTTTAGATATAATGTTTTCTTATTTATTACAAAACAGTTAACCCTAAAATTAGTTAACTACTTAATATCATTTTATTTTTATTTTATAAATAAAAATAAAACCGTTGTAGTATTGAACAGAATTGCCCGCTCTTTCTTATATTTAGGGCACAGCCTTTAAGACGTCCATCGCGAGCGGCCAACAAGCAAGGGTCAGCTTTACTACCTCGTCAATTTGCTCCGGACGGGGGATGTCTTTCTAACTAGTGTTCTATTATAATGAACGCATAACGGTAATACCTATGTCTGTATTTGAATAGGTTAAATTCCATAAACATGAAAACAGAACTATATTCCTTGAATGACATTTAGTCAATTAAAGCTCTCAACAATGTTGGTTAACGGGTATAGAGAATAACAATGTAGATATATTTGAGACAAACACGTCGTTCATGATATTTTTACTCAGTATTTAATAAAAAATGCAGTTATTGTTTTCTTGATTTTACGCGAATATTACACATATTAAATGAAACTAGTTAACGGATTTTGTCCCGTTTTTTATTTTGATTTGTACTCCCGACGTTTCGAACCCTTTCCAGCGTTCATGGTCACGGGATAGACTAAGTCGTTTCACGTTTTGATGTCATAGTTAACCCCGGCTACCGTCAATTATTTTGTTTATTTTTATGCCGTTTATATTTATGGCCGTTCGTTTATGATGTACATCATCCGGTCAATGTCATCGACGACAGGACCTCAGTCATATATTGGATAATTAAACACTCATCAAACGTCGTTTAGTAATTTTCGTTTCAAGGAGTGGATAAAAAACTTTCTGTTTCATTCACACCGTACTCCTATTATGGAGACGGGAGTTAGTCTCCGCTGCAGCTAAAGAATGGCCGTTAAAGTGAGTGTGGAGCCTTGACATTTCACCCCCAGGGTCTTTTACGGCCCGACCGGTTCCGTATCTGATGACCGGGGTCCCTTCGGAGCCCCTTCGCAGCCCGGTCGGCGCCTTATCGACAAATTTAGCACTTGACATACGCACTGTTACGCGCTCACGGGTGTTTATGCCGTCGTAAAACTTTGCGACGTCACGCCGCTGGGAGACTCCTCGATTGGTGCTATCCGATAGAGTGTGATTTTGATAAGTACTACGATTGCCTCCGTTTCTACACTAAAACAATGGTGTCTGTCTTACCGACTGCGTACTGTTTACTGGCTCATAGGGTTTAAGATTGTTGTAGGTACTCTTTGTTCTTAGTTCTTTATCAATATTACGCTTGAAATATATTTCATCGGAATCTGTCACAGAGTGGTGGTGTTTGTAAAAATTATGCGTCTTTCGTCTTTAGTTTCAATGTTGAGTCGATCTAAGAGGTGACATTATAAATTCTTCTACAGATTAATGAAACGATTATTTGCCTTGTCCTTTTGTTGACCTTCATATAACCTAAATAAAAATTAATACGTGCGTAAGTAAGCTACCACCTAAGCTACCTCAACCGCTCTGTTGAGAAGAAACCGGCAAGAAACTCAACAGTTGCTCTTTTTTTAAAAAAAAGATTAGTTTACAATATAAAAGGATAGGTATAAATCTTACTTTAGCCTACGTGAGTATCAACAGAATAAATTTTTCTACAAATTTTAATGTTTCATCTAAAGTGCAGAGATTAGCACAATCAAATTTGAAATATTAGGTACGTCCATGAAAAAGCGTCATTTTTAGTTCATGGTAAAAGGTTGGTGATACATGCTTTTTAGTTTCTTTAGGTGTATAGGTTCTGACAATTTTAATAAAAAGTTTACATAGGAAAAACCATATGCAACACTACAACCAAATGAATGAAAAAAACTAAAGCCCTTGCATTCAAAGATCAAAATAAAAGTAACTCTGTATAGTCTAAAACGCGTCCACGTAACGGCAGGATCTGAGTGGCAGACTGATCTACTTCTCTATGTAACTAAAAAAAGTTTCACTTCTGGAATACCTGAAAGATATCCGTTCTTTTAGAGGGCCAATTTTATTCCGTACATAATCAAAGTAATAAGAAATAGTAAGGTACTTATATATGCGACTAGAAAAGATCATAGCTAGTACGCATTTTATATATAATGAAGTTTATAAAGTTTTTTTTTTAAGTTTAGGGTATTTTTTAAGTTTTGTTTAATTGCCCAGTTGATGAAAAAAAAGATGCAGCTTGCTTAACGTGAGAATCATGAGCACATGCTCCGGATGTAGCACCATAAAAAGGTAAAATCCAGTATTAGAATTTGTTTTGCTTTTGCTTCGAGTCCCGATCTTCAAAAACGGCTAAAAAAAGCCACGCTAAAAGCCGAACTACATTCAAACTTCCCATGGTGGATTTTATAATCACAACGAATAAGTTATTAGCCGTTCCTTAGGTATGACCGCAGCATTACAATATGTTTAGCGAATTGCTGGCGTGAACGCACCTGCTCGCCAAAGTGGTAGTAAACAGCACGCAAGGGTTTTTGGCCAAATGTAATTTAACACAATTAGTCGCTTTCATTGTTTTAATCGCTTTTATTGTTCAAATCGCTCTGTAGATTCCTGATTAGCGGCCGTAATATTTATGTGTGTTAATAAACTTAATTTCTTTCCTGTAACGACACGGCCGCCAAAAGTAATGTAATTTATAAATGGGACCGTTTAGTTACTCAATTAAGGATGAAAACAGTTCGTGAAACTGTTAACATTTTGTTGCCACATTATTTCTCCTCAACAGTGAAACATTCCCAACCGTATGTACCGCACTTATAGTGAAGGTAACTTTGTAAAATACTAGCTATATATTGTGATAAATGTGTCTTCAATAGGCTGTTTACATAATTAAAAACGTTTACATAATAAAGAAAGCTATTTCTTTAAGCATAGATTTATTAGTAAGTAGGATGAGTTTTTCTTAAGAAAAAACGTATTTTTTTGGCCTATCGTTCGGTTCATGCTTAACCTTTAAGTTTATTGGGTTATTTTTTAAGTCTTACTTATAAATTTTACAGATTTATCGCGTTTATTTTAATTTTAATTCCCGACGTTTCGAACCCTTTACAGCGTTCATGGTCACGGGACAGACTGAGGTGTTGACACCTCACAGGCGTAAATACAAGAAATTATTATGTCTTACTTGTTTTACCGATTAATTAAGGGTTAAAATAATTTGATACACCTATATCTAGTATTTAAAAGAAGCAAAAACAATATCCTTCTTCTTATAATATGAATACCAACAGGTATATGTAAAAGTAAAGAGGAGGCCTTTGCCCAGCAGTGGGACATGCACAGGCTGATACTTAACTTTTTTTTATATGTATAAATCACATACATTAAAAAAATATATTTCCTATAAACTTTCATTTAATATAACAATATTCATACATTATGCGAGCTATGCAAAGCATATCGACACTCCAACAAACGATTTAATCTAACTTAACTCTTTGTTTGTTTTACACGTCGTTTGTCATTTCAAACGTGTTTTGCCACTTTGAATAACTCGAAAAGCTGAAACACCTGTAGACAAGCAATTCGACGTGATCTTTTATCAATTGACTATATTATCGACGCGTAAACTTCTTGATAAATAAATGCGGCGCGATTGAAGCAATTAGCATAATGGCTACCAGCCGGGCTCTTACACGTCTTGTTGCATCGGAGGCTGGTTTGCCACAATTGTTACATTCATGCAGGACGATTACATCACGCGGGGTATAAACAACTAGTTGATTAAATTTAAACGGTTGATCACATATCCTTACCTCACCTACTGCTAGTTACGTATGCATTACTTAGACTCGTTTCTTTTCACTGTCGTAGCTCAGTTTAAACAGCGGTGAAAGCAGTTATTGATTTTGGATCTATTTTGACTTATACATAGTAAAGTTGACAATGATGGTCGTTTCAAAATTTAGACGCTCATTTGGTGTGTTGGTGTTGCACGTTGGTTTTGTTCAGTGTTCATTTTTAAATCAGTTTTTAACCATAGCCAATATTATCTTAATGAGGACTGTCATCGGCTTCCATAACCTTTACTCATAAAAAGTAAAGCATCAGCCTATAAACGTCCCACTGCTGGGCAAAGGCCTCCTATGTAAAGAGGATATTAGGGCAGAGTCCACCACGCGAACCCACTGCGGATTGGGCAGATTTCACATAAGTTCGAAACATTTTTTGGTATTATTTCGAAAATATTATGTATCTTAAGGAAAGATGTTTTCCTTCACCGCCGAGCGCGTGATAATTTAGCACGTAAAATTGAAAACTCAGGTTGCTCAAATATATTTAATTAAAACACGAGCGCCCGGACACGGCGCTATCACGGCTCATTAAATTCGGTAGGGCAAAACAAAACTTGCGCCGACTAACTATCCCAACTTGTTATACCTAGCACGTCACGGCATTGGCAATTTTTTAAATAACAATTAGGCGTCGCGGAACGAAAGCGGCAACCCACCCCCGAGGTCTCAGCGCGGTCTTTGCGTTCCACTAATCAGTTGTTACACGGCGCTGTCACGGCTCTCGTGCCGCTATTACGAGGGGCCGGCGGCCGCCAACGGTCGCGCTGCACCTTGCGGTACACCTTGCGCGTAACGTCTCCCGTCCAGATATACCAAGATACCGAGCCGTCCACCACCCAAACGACCCAACCGACTCCCCTGCACGCGACATTGAAGCCTAACTCGACTGACTTGCGTGCAAAGTCGCCTGCAACCCAATCTATACCGCAAAGATACCACCCCTACCTGTAGATTAAGGTTATTTAGTACGAGCCACGTTTTTTACGGCACTGTGTTAGTGGACACGCTTGTCTTACGGAATTAGCCGGGCCGCTTTCGTCTAATTCCCGACCGTTGAGATCTCATTCGATAGCAATTGCCCGGTTTCGGCGGTGCACGGTGACCGTTTAATTGGGTACATCTTTATCTGTCACGCTGTTGGTTTTACTATTTCGCGTTAATGATGATTGAATGATAGCTTATAGATAGAAGTGCTTCAAAAAACATGTATAATGACTGTGTATATTGCACCTGCTTCTGTACAGATTGAACAATTTGTGAGGGGTAGAATGGTTTTCGATGTGTGTCATGATGATAATTATAGTTTGAGACAATAATGAGATGACGACGAGACAGTTTGTTTTGGAAATGTCCTCTGCTTTTTTATTGCGCTGAAATTACCGATTTGATTCCACTGTGGATTGGTTTGCTTGACTATTATCTTCGGATAGAGTAGAGCACGGTGGCCTTATTGCCAAAACTTGGAGCAAAAGTATCAAGAACACCGAGTCGGCGTCATAGAGCATATCAGTTTGTACCCAGGTACAGTATAACTGCCGGCCGAGAGCGTGGGCGTCGTCCCACAAAGTATTAATAGAGGACGCGAGGTGTACGGGCCAATTAAACGCAATTACATACATGTGCCCCGCAGAATTCGACGACTTTTACCGCGACCATCGTACGGTCTCACAATTACGCGACGCTGGACACGCAACACCAATCGTAATTATGTAGTTTTTCGTTTGATTGCTTCGGCATGCTATTTATGCAAGGTTTGAGCGCGTGCCGCGCTTTTATACATTCGTAAACGTAATATTGCTCATGAATGTTTTACTTTCTTCACTTGTGTTTGTGTACTTTATTGATATTATCACTTATGAGGGCAAAATATCGATGTAATTACTAAAAACCTTTGTATATTGCCCCTATTTACTCAGCTTCATACCAATCAGAAAGTCTTAATGTCGAATACTAGTTTACAATACTTTACCGCCGAAAATCGTGAGACCACATGTGTGGTTCTTAGGAAAATGACACGTTTGGGGCGTAGACCACGAAAGGTTATACGAAACGTAGCAGGGTATGTTTCTTTCATCAGCAATAAATGATTACAAATATAAAGAGCAAGATAATCCACTTAAACCGTTTGAGAGAAGAAGTCCGCATCAAATTGGCCGAAACTTTCTGCGAGGCTGGGACGTGTCGAGTCAATAAAACGACAAAAACACCCCTTTAGAAGAGGATATCTTTAAGGAATTTCTCCCGGTCGAACCCTTGCTAACCGTTAATAAATGTCACGGGCCAGCCATTGACATTTGCCGGCAGGGTGACCCCACTAGGGCAGCTGGTCGGACTCTCCTCGCGAGGCCACGGTTCATTTCCGACACTCGTTGTCACCCGCGCTCCTAACCGCTATATACTAATTTATGGCCACTTTATAACCAAACCAAGGTAAGACCTAGCAGGTTCGTCTGTTTTTAATAACTCAGTTAAGTAGTTATAACTAACTTTAAAATTAATTTTATATATAGAGTATAATTATCTTAATTAAGACAACATGCATTTCTTTTTCTTTATCATACTTAAAAATAATGATTAACACGTTAAAAATTAGAAAATAGTGATCAGAGTCGTAGGTAAAATATAACTAGTGTGTCAATTTTGACCTTAACATTGACAATAAAATATATGACTTTAAACTTAAGTAAAGTGTGTTAATTTTTATACATGTTGTTTCATATAGCACGAACAATTAGTATTTATCCAAAACATTCAAGACTGATCGCCAAACCTTCTGGTTTTGCAACACGACAATTATAGTTTCAATTAATTCGTAAATTAACTGGAAACAAACCACTACTTGCTATTTTACTCAAAAATTGTACATACATAGTGAATGTCGAGATGGTAAATTAGCTGTTTATATCAAAAGAATACGTTTAAAGCTCTCAACGTAAAGAATAGGTAAACATATATGAATATAGAAAATAAAAAGACTGATAAGTTGCTAACGTGTACTTTATGTGGTTGATCAAATTACACATTACATAACACACATCACAATGGGTTCCCGTTATCAAATTCTTATGTCATTTCCCTGTTCTTACTCTCCGACGCGGTCAAAGTCAAATGTGCGTCGAGTAACATGCCGCGGACACGCGACGGACAGCTGTACTCCATTTTTCAACGAGGAACGATGTAAAGCCTTCGTTTCACTGCTAGATATGCTAGCGAAACTAGCAAGCCTACACAAGAGTTTTGAGAAAATAAAACATTTCTTTAGAGTCTGCTCGCAAAATCTAAGTAAACTCAGGATGCAAGGTTTCTCCGTTACAATTTTATTGCTACAATGTGTTCAAAATTTGTCGCACAAAGAGCTAACAAACACATGCTCAAACTATTCTGTCTATAATATTAGCTGTACAGGTGTACGTACATCACTTCGATCACATTAGCGGCACTTACGTTGTAACGTTTGTTTAAGGAACAGGTGAAGCTCGAGCAAGCGATTTAAATAAACGTGAATATATTTAAACTTCACGCTTGATTTTATGTGGGTGTAAACATTTATGAAAATTCAAAATTCGCAGCGTAGTTCTACCATATGCTTCTGCCACATGTATTTAGATAGATACCTACACCTTTAGATAGTTTATGATACTACAAAAAGTATAAATCGTTCGGGTACTTACATTTGGTCTTCAGAAATAAATTTATTGTATATTAAATCTCACAGTGAAAAGCAGGCTTAGGAGAAAATAATAAAAGGTCGCATTGTAAATAATTTCACGCAGAAAGCGGCCCATTAGGGGCCTGTGTTTTTACCTCGGCTTACACCTTTCACCTTTGTCTGCTTTGAAGTTGCCAGCTAATGGCCTGCGTTATTAAAAGCCTATAAGAAACAACACATCAACAATTAATCCTATTAAACCTACTCTGAGCTACGGAATAATATGATGAAATAGGACGCGTTCGAAATTCTCATATGATTTTGGAACGATTAAGTCTATAAACTTCAAAGACTTGAATGTACATAAAATAAACTTTGTATTGGTCATATTACAGTCAATATAAATGAAGACTATAAACACTGTGTGATCGTATCCAATTCTCATCCATCTGTTGACTATCAATGATTCCAAATCCAAAATCTTAAACAGTAAAATTGTAGAGTTCACATCTGAAAAAAAAATTGTCCTACATTTTTAATGGACTGAAGGCATACTAGGTAGCATACATGTACTATCTATTTTTTATCATAAGATGTCACGTGAACAATACCCCACAGTAATACCGATGATATATTGTTCTTCGTATATAGTTAGCGTGTTCATCCACTAACTCACACGACTTAGTTTAAGGAATTTTTATTACTCACTATTAAAATAAAAACTCTCGCTCGCTACACAACGCAGCACATGCCATTTGTAATTATCCATCTATAAAACACTCATTGGCATTTTTGCTCGCAATTATCCACGTTATCCTTGAGGTAATGGTGCCGCGGTACTTTCACAAAAGTGTATTTCTGCGTCCACGAGTGGGTAAGTAAGGTGGGCAGACGAAAGCACCCTTTCGTCGTCGCAAAGCCGTACGGTGTAAATTACGCGAGAGGGCGCTTTCACGCCGGGCTCACCGAGCCATTGTCCGCCGGACACCGAGCCACTTTGGGGTGACTTAAATCCGAAATTGGGTATTTCGAAAAATGTGCATGTGTCATTTATCACGACCCTCGCCGCCCCGGCACCGCGGCGGGAGGAAAAAACTAACCCTATTTAAAAAACTACCCCCGCAATAATCCGGCCGCTACACCCGCGCGGCACACACTAACAGTATTAAATTCTTCCACTATTAATACAATGGCGTTGGCGGCAAATAAATATTGAATGAATGGGATGGAAGCTGTACGGAGATAATCCTTATTAAGCAGATCGCACAATGAACAGAGCCCATGGGGAGACAATGGCGTCATCAGTGAATAATGAAATTGAAATTGAACATTTAATCGATGCCGGTTGGTTTTATAATTACATCGGCCACCTGAATGGTTTGACTTTGCCGAGGACCTATATTAATTGACTCTACAACACACATCAGATGTGTAAGTTTAATGTCGTGCCTTACATTCACAATAAAAATATTATAAAGAAGAAATATCAAGTCACACACAAAAGCATCTTGGAGAAGTAAGATTCTCCAAGATGTTTGTAGAAAGCCAATTATGAGTGATGGTTAGAAGTGCATATGAAGAAACATGTTGGGACCTCTACGGTAAGCAGCGGATCCCCGAAGTATCATACACAAGTTGAACGTCTCCCGAGGGACGCGGTGGTATGACAAATCGCCTTACGTTCCGCACCTAAAAATAGAAAAACACGATTAATTGGGTCTTTATTATTTTCATTTCTGCTTAACTATAAATGTAATTTTCAATCAGCTGTTTTGTTGTACGGTCTTTAGATAATTGGAAATTAACAATTTTAGATTTTTCGATTTAGTTGTAGAATTTCGACCAACACGCGGACGGATAACATGAAATAGTAGTTAATTCTTTTAAATAAATTTGATAGTATTAAATAAATATACTAAAATGATTATTCCGCTCCGTATTCCGTAAAAATAGTAAACTTGGTAAGTTTGGTTTATAAAGACACATTCATTACTATAACGAAACTTATAATTAACAGCCACGTGTTGAATTAAAGGTAATGCTTCAAACCGACTACATTTGAAGGCGTTCGCAATTGAACGTTGAAACTTTTCAATATTTTGGTTTGGGATAAAGTTGCACGTGCCGTCGCGTGGCTCGAGTTAGACCCCCGCCGCTTTATTTTTTATTATTTTCATAATTCATATTTCACAATAACAACCGAGGAGGCGTTTCGCACGGTTAGATCGTGAAACCACTCTCGAGGGCAGTTGAGAAGGCAGCTTACCACAAGGACCTCTTATGGGACCATTTTTATTTATGTTACTTTGCTCCGCGGTGCGTTTTGTGATCCACTTTATCAAATGCTTTACAGAGATCAACCGCCGTGGGGTTGGAATGGCCTCAATAATAAGTTAGTCAGAGTTATTGTCAAGTCGAATGGCTTACTGTTATACGGAATTGGATTTACAGTACGTATCTTATACCCAAAAGAGCAAGTTTTTGATGAATAGTTTTAATTAAAGAATCATGTCTTTTACTGTTTGAAGGTTTAAAGTTCACAAAAATGTGCAGATGATTATTTATTAAGAATTTTCCTGAAATGTCTCCAATTTGCGTACCTTGCGTCTCAAGATAATATAGGTAGACGAAAACAGAAAAAATAAAAGGAGCTGCGGTGGGTCGAATCTTATTGTATTTTTCGATTAAAACCGTTCAAGTTTTATGAGCTCGTGTAGTATTAGGGTAGACAGAACACCATCGTGGCATATTGTGAGTTGTTTCTAAGCGGAATTTTTAGTGCCCTAGCCTGGGGAGCCCTATCCAAATTACCGTAACGGTAAGGGTTCCTCACTTTAGAGGGAGATTTTTTTTTATTTTAGAGTAATTTCCCGTTACATTTTACGTGAGCCAAGACATTGTGGGGTACTGTTTTTTGTGAGGTTTGTAATTCGCCGTTTTGTTTTTCCATTCGATCTTATTTGCAACGCGGTGAGAATTTAATTTTGATCTTTTTGGATGTCTCTGTCAGAATTATTTAAGAAATAGGTTTTATATATGTCTTTTTATTATTTATATATATATATATATATATATATATATATATATATATATATTATATTTGTATTTTTTTTTAAATATTTTTCAAATGATATCCTCATTAGTAAAATATATAAAATAGAAGCAATTTGAAGAGGTGTTAAGTATGTTACTATGTAATGTTATAAAAACGATGTTGATTACCGAATTAAGATATTCAATAAAATGTTTGGATTTTTGATACTTAACTTTTGTTTAACAAAAAGTAAAGTATCAAAAACTGAAAATAAAATCTACTTCTTCAGTTTAACTTTTTTGTGTTGATTAAGAAAATAAGTAAAGATAACCGTATCCTCGGAGTTCTATGTCCTCGTCTATTTTCGGTGCGTGTAAGAAGGAAGTATTAAAGTCGTACAAGTTAACCCCGCGCCTGAGGGGGACTCTCTTTAAATACATCCGATAAAAAACTAAATAACACCCCCTCGATGCCATGCAAAATTTCACCCCCACGGAAAAAACGAATGGAAACGTCCATAAAGGAGAATTTATCCGCAAATTAATTTGTAGCGGTACGAAATAAAATTAAAGTAAGTTCTGAAGTAATTGTACGTGCTATTTGAAAGAATTGATTTCGCTGCGGATGAAGGAAGTTCGAATCATATTATGGTAATTAACAAAATAAGAAAAAAAGACAATTATAAAATAAATAAAGTGTAATATTTCAGATATAATTTCGAGAGCTTTCTCACAAAGTTATAGAGTTTGGGTAGATTGCTATAGCTTTCAACAGGTTATCTATCAACTACGTACTTCATCTTTTCAGTCATATACACTCATACTTTATTAGTACAAATAAACCGATAAGTGCTGCTAGTATTATGGATATATTAAACTACACGCGACGCACAAATTGGCCGTTAGACTTACCAGTTGATCATATCTCACGCACGGGTATCTTCGTAAACATATCAGCTATTGCAGGTTGCATATTTGAAATTGTTAAATAAAATATTTATGCAAATGGACACTCAGCACGAGGCTCCAACCGCCCCGAATGGTCACAAATCACGACCGCAATAAATCTTAATCCGAGTGAAACGACGGCAATATTTTCAGTTAAAACAGCAGTAACATCGATTCCTTATCAGATAACAGAAGACCGTTGAATCGAATCGATCGTCGCCCCATAATGACGCCGTAAATTTTAATTGTCCCTCTTGATTATAATAAGACATCTCCTCAAAAGAAACTGTGGGAACTTGGTGATGTAACGGAAGATTTTCGCCATTATAGGCTCACTGGCCTCAAGCTCCGATGTCTTACCTCCGTGTGATTTACGATGTAAAATCGAACATTAGATTTTTAATGTTGACGGTTTGATGTCTATAAATAATTTTGCCGTCGCTTTCGAAGATTAACGTCTCTGACTTATTTATTTAGCATTTGTGATATATTGTGAACCGAAGTATTATAGACAAAATTCTAGAAAAAC